CACTGACCAAAAGAAATGTTAGAGTTACTACTGCTATGTGCTTGTACACTGACCAAAAGAAATATTAGAGTTACTACTGCTATGTGCTTGTACACTGACCAAAAGAAATATTAGAGTTACTACTGCTATGTGCTTGTACACTGACCAAAATAAATATTAGAGTTACTACTGCTATGTGCTTGTACACTGACCAAAAGAATTATTCGCGTTAATACTGGAATATGCACGTACCCTGTTTTGGAATGCTTTACGCAAGAGAAATGCTTGTTTTCAGGCGAACTTCGCTAGGATGTCTTAACAAGATGTAATGCTTTATATTTCCAGTTAAACAAAATAGATCTGATTTCTAGAAAATATTATGTTTATTAGAATAAATATATTTTTAGCAAACATGCCGTAATGTCAGTATATGTGTAGACTGAGAATGTACTTGTTAAATCAATCTCAGTTTTAGGCGATCTGTTGGCTATGGAGACCGCTGGAGAGAAGAGCGTATATATCGAAGAGATATTGGCTTCCAGTTGAGTATTGGGGGGGGGGGGGATGGCGATTTTGGAGAGTCTATAGAAAACGTTTTAAACTTAGATTGAAAAAACAAGTAATAAACCATAACGGAACCCTCTGAAGTCTTATGAAGATAAAATAGATGTCGGTGCTTCTGCTCCACCCCCACCCCCCTTGAAGGTCAAAGATTTTTGGTAGCACAATACGTAACAGGAAAAGTCCACCATGCTGGGAGGTGGAGTTTTAAAGACCACATTTGGGATAAAAGACGTTTCGCAAAGGAAATGATAGATTAGGACAATTATTTGTTTATTCTATAATTGGTTGTTTTCTAACGGATTCGAACACGATCTAATGGTAAACGTACGCGGCTAGAAATCCATAGATTCATTATTTACGACTCAATGGTTGTAGGCAGATAGCACTTGTGAGCTCTGGAACAAACAAAAACAAGTTGATGCTTAAAAAAGATAACGTGTTTATGTAAATTGAAAATAAACAGCTTCAAAATATATAAGTTGAATACAATCTAGATTAATATATCTTCAACTTTTTATCTCTTTCGACTTTTTGTTTGTTCAAATTTTAACCGCCAATGTTGAAAAATACCCAAACTAAAAACTGAGAATTTCCGAATATATTGAATAGAATATTCAATACTAATCGCCTGAAGACCTGTTCAGTCTTTTAAATGCGATTCTTGTGAAGATCAATAAAGTCGGCCATCGATACAACGATGTTTGGTAATTTGAACATCTTAATCAATCCATTATTTCTAAGTTTGATAATATAATTGAAGAGTCAAATACAGCGTATACTCTGTATACTGGTACACGCGAAGTGTTCGTGCCTCCCTTTGTAAACAGGAGTTTGGAATAGCTCATTCCGTCTCCAACATAGACGCCAATCAGAATGACGAACATGAATAAAACGGGGGTGAAAAACGGGGGCTCCAGAAAGTAACGAAACATCGATTGATTTCTGAATTAAAAAATAGCCTTTCATTAGTTCTATTTGTTCATTTTGAGAATGTTGCGACGGATCTATCCCGTATTTAGCAGGCGATAAATAAATGCCACCAGTTCGGTAGAATCGAAACTTTGGGAGCCTAGCACCTGCTAGCCTAACCATTAGCAGCCTTTCTTATTCATATGATGAGTAATTAATTCAGCTATCTGTCGATAATCATCAAACTAGGCCAGATCCACTCTATTGGACAAAAGCATCTAAAAGAAACTGGCCGCTCACAAAGACTGTGACTGTATAAAATCCTAGCAATGCCATTAGGGAGAAACCACTAATTGTCAAGTTATTAAATTATCACTAATAACCAAAAAGGATGGCAGGAAAAGTATGGCAACGAAAAAGAAAGGAGCACTAATTATTAGCAGCTGAAGCTGCTTTGTTCCAAGTCTTAATTAGAGAGAGGCGGCTGTTTGCGCTTAATTATTCTTTTCAGAGAAGACACCATTTTATGGAACATCCGGCGAACTCTACTGTAGTAAAAGTGTTATTTTGTAGATAAATTAGTCGCCATTTTTAAGGAAGTTCATCCATTAAAAAAACCCATCCTTCTCGACCGTTCTATTCATTCTTTTTATTCCCTATAGAAAACTTCACAGAATGGAATTGGAATTTCATATTGTTACTTTAAAAAGGGCGAATTTGTGACTAAGATACAATAATACACATACATATACACATATATATATTATTTTTCTCGAGACTCTAGAAAGACGATTAAAGTTGGTGTGTTTTAACGTATTTTGTTTTTCATATGAGTTTTATGTGATATCGAGAACACTTTTGTATGCTACCAAGCACTTTTCTAACACCTTAGACTGAGCGTTACTTTAAAAAAATACCAAATTTGCTGGTATTAAATTTTAGTTGTCTCATGGCCTTGTATCACGTAAGTTAGGTGTCAAGCGAGTCCAATATATTTTTGTTTGTTTCTGTTTAACTATTTAATAAACTATTGTTTCTTAAAGTTGAAACGACACTTGTGTTAAGTTTTCAAACGTTACACTTGTTGAAGAAAAACAACCTTTCAAAGTACAAAAACTTATTTTTTAAAGTTTCTTATTGTGTACTATTAAACGTTTGTTTGCTTCAACAACTGTGATGTTTAAAAACTGTCGTTTTTCTTTATTGTAATAAATCTAGTCTGAAATATTTAAACATTGTAAGAAATATAAAGAATCTTTAAAAAGGATTCATACAGCATACTTTGTTCTGTTTGTAATGGGAGATAATATAATAATATGATTATTCAGAATCTTATGTTAAAATATGCCTTGTAATTAAAAAACCCAAGTTTAAACTGGGAAGATAATATAATAATAAAATTATTCAGAACCTTATGTTAAAATATGCCTCATAATTAAAAAACCCAAGTTTAAACTGGGAAGATAATATAATAATATAATTATTCAGAATCTTATGTTAAAATATGCCTCATAATTAAAAAAAACAAGTTTAAACTGGGAAGATAATATCATAATATATTTATTCAGAAACTTATGTCAAATATGCCTTGTGATTAAAAACCCTAAGTTTAAACATCGACAATCACCCTGTTATAGAAGCCGCCAATTAATGGCCCTAGAAAACACTCAACAGATGTCGCTACATGCGATGGCGTATTCTAACCCCATCTTATAGATTTATATGTTTGCTGTCAAACGCAAAGCTACATGTTGAAATGTCTGTGCTTTCCCACCGCGGGTATCGAAACTCGATTTACCAGTTTTATAATCCCTCATACATGCCGCTGAGTCATATGGGGGCCCACAGTACAGAAACAGGTGTCAGTAAACAAAGAGAAAGAATATCTATAGGGTTTTTAGCCGTTTTGCTTCACCAAATCTTTAACACACACACACACACATATATATAAATAGAAATAATGTATTCATCTGAAAGTGATTTTAACACTGAATTAAAATTGCAATGATCCCGAAGACGAGGTAATTTAGCGATGCAAGAACACGAAACTACTTCTCAAAATGAGCGCACACCGTTTTTGCAACATCTATTGACACCCCTGCATTTCTTGTGAAATACTTTCAACAGCAAACGAGTGTAAGTGCTTGTTTGTTTGAAGTTAACCACAAAGCTACACAATGGACAATCTGTGCTCTGTCCACCACAGGTATCGAAACCCGGTTTCTAGCGTTGTAAGTCTAACGTTCAAAGTTCGCAGACATGCCGCTGTGCCACTTGGGGGCGCTATATTAAAGAAATAACGTCCATGTATGTAATTTACCAACAAATTATCATTAACTTATGATCAAAGCAAATCGCCTATATAAATTAGAAATCAAACTAAAAATTAACCCTGTAATTAATATAGCTAATTTAAATACCAGCCTAACTACGAGCATGTAATGTCGTAAAATAAAAACTTATAAAGTTTGCGTTGAGTCATCAGTATGATATTGATCGAAGTGCTATTAATCTTCAGAAGTTCTTTGTTTTAAAAAATGTATAATACTACATAAATAACTGAGAAAATTTATGAAATTAAGTAGGTATGCTATTTTTCTAATAGGTTTAGTGAATTTCTCTCTCTCGGCAGTATTGAAGCTGGTACATTACAAGAATTTAAAAGAATAAATGACACTTTCCTTTAAAAAAAAAGGTGAGTTTAAGCTTTTATTTCTCCTGAAGGATGGGTGTATCTTGAAGAACCAAATGGTCACTTGTTATGTTATATTTCTTTCTTTAAATTTCTCTGACCTTATCACCTTTAGTGGCAAGAGTTAGTTCAGTAAGTCCATTGTTGGTAGTTTAGTAAGTTCATTGTTTTGGTAGTTTAGTAAGTCTACTGTTGGTAGTTTAGTAAGCTCATTGTTTTGGTAGTTTAGTAAGTCTACTGTTGGTAGTTTAGTAAG